ATACATCCTTGGTCTGTTCAAGGATTCCAGGCAAGTTGGTTTTGACATAAGTTGGGTCTCTCTTTTTTATTGCCTTTCACTAGCAGCATCTTTATAAATTTGATCTTTATTCTTGAGGGTCAGAAACATTACACATGAATATCTGAGAACAACAGTATCAGCAAATTACATACTACAACGTTGTACTTAGTACTAATTATAATGATAAACCCCACCACCAAGCCTATTTGGACTCAGAACAACCTGGTAGGAGGTTTCTAAGGCTGTAAATCTGTATGGGAGCAGACAGTTTCATTTGTCTCCCCTGGAGCAGGTGGGAGGTTTGAACTGCTGATCTTGAGGTTAGCAGCCCAAAGCCTTGCGCACGGTATCAGCTGTGGCTCTTTATTATAATGAGTAGATGCACCAACTTCACCTCCAAAAACAAAAGAAACACAACCAGGTGTTTGTGATGTGGTTCATTGTAATTTCAATCTGTCTGAAGTCTGACATCACCTGTACTGGTTTTCTTTAGTTTCTAGAACATGCCCAGTTCTTTCTTGCCCCCCCAAATCTTCACGTAGCCCCTCCTCCTGGAATGACTGCTCCATCGTAGGCTTAGGTCAACATTGCTGCTGTGTCAGGGAAGCTGCCCCCTCACCACATTGTCACTCCTTCTCATCTGATTTCTCTGTTTTCATCTTAACACTGCCATCAGTAGTGAGTTTGCATATATTTGCATATTGTGCCTCTCCAGAAATTGGTTCTAGGTTTTTGTCTTCCCTGATTACTTTGAAAAAATAAATACATAAATAAACAAACATCAAACTTCAGTTTCCCCAGCTGTAAATGAAGAGACTTGGATGAAGATTGTTTCTAAAGTTCTTCCCAGTTTTAATGATCATGAAATCTCAGTCCTGTCAAGAAGTCATGCATGCAGATATAGAGGTAAACACAAAACTCCAACTGTGAAGGGAGTGGAGACAAGCAGAGAATAGCAGCACCAGCCACACCCCAAGTTCACCGCCTTCTTGTTGATAACAATCCATGGTGACCTTGCAGGGTGGAGTAGAATCGCCTCTCGGTTTCCGAGACTCTAACTTTTCATGGGAGTAGAAAGCCTCATCTTTCTCCCACAGAATGGCTGGTCATTTTGAATGGCTGACCTGGTTAGCGACCCAATGCATAACCCATTATGCCACCAAGGCTCCTAAAATTCCTTGCACACTTAATACTCATATCCTTTTCTTTAGCCACTGCCTTTTGCCTTACTTTATAGGAAAATTTCAACAGGAAGAATGCTTTAGAATTTATTAGTTTTAATTAGTTCTTTAATGCTTCCTCTCCCCCACCCCACTATCATATCATGACCCCAGTTCTACCTTACAAATCTGGCTAGACCAAAACAGGTACACGTACAAATAAGAGCTCTGAACACACAGAATCCAAGACAGATAAACCCCTCAGGACCAATAATGAGAGTAGTGATATCATGTGAGTGTACGGGGAAGGGGAAGGGGGGAAACCAATCTCAATGATCAACTTATAACCCCCACCTCCATCCCCAGGGGATTGAACAATAGAAATGTGGGTGAAGGGAGACAGTGGAAAGTGTAAAATATGAAAATAAAAATAATTTATAAATCATCAAGGGTTCAGAAGGTATTGGGAGAGTGGGGAAGGGAGGGGGAAAGTAGAGGAGTTGATACCAAAGGCTCAAATAGAAAGAAAAGGTTTTGGAAATGATGATGGCAACATCTGTACAAGTGTAGTTGATACAATTGATGTATGGACTGTTATAAGAGCTGTAAGACTGCCCAATAAAATGATTTATTTAAAAAAAAGAATTTATTAGTTTTAAAAGGGTTGTGATGAGTTGTTTGTCAGGAATGAAGAGGGAAATTGAGATTACTAAGTGCCTTCTTCTAAACTGTGGCACCCCAAAAAGACTCTCTGACTTAAATGTAAGCCTGGTGGATTGCTTAATGAGCCAGAAGACTATACTATATACAGAAAAAGAGGCAATAAGCGGAGAGAAAGAAAAGCATGCTTACTGCCTCCACTCATAAGCATTCAAAAGCTGAGTGGGTTAGAAAGGGGTTGAGTAAATGCATGCTTTTAGTTTGAAATTTAGTTTTCACATCCCTCTTATTAATTGTTCCTACTGTGGATTGGCCTTACTATTAAAGGCTTTTCTCACCGATTTCTAAGACAACCTCGGGGTTAGGAGAGAGGGTTCTCATTGTTAATCCGTATAAAGAAATGGAAATATTTAGAAATTGAGTTACTTCCTAAATGAAGGCCCAGCTTACTGGTGATTGAGTAGGAAATTAAATCAAGTAAATGAGTAATGAGCCTTTTTTCTTTTGAGCCTCTAATGTTTCTAATCGCATTTTCAGTAGTTGAAAGATAATAGGACAGTTATGACACCAATTCACAAACCAGGTTGTGTTCATTCTGGGTTCTTTTCCTAGAGACCTGGGGTGCTTTCTCTTGATCCGCTCTTTCTGTGATGCTGAGTAGAGAGTACGTATGTACTCCTTCGAAATGTTCTTGCTGTGAAATCAAATCCTGAGTTAAACAATTAACAGTCCAGTTTTGTACAATCACATAATAGTATTTCACAAAAGCACGACCTTATTTGTAACATAGACTCCTCCTGACCTGTTGCTTTAAATATTTTAATAACACAAGTTCCCCCTTCCCCAGTGAGGCCCATTTTTCCCTCCAATCACTTTAATTATGTGAGCTAGAATCCTGTTTCTCACACATCTTCAGTTCTCAACCTTGTTAAAATTAATCATATAATCCCCTTTTAAAACATAGTATTACATCACCATAGTAACTCAGTATCCAAGCTTTATAGATAAAACATAACAGCCATAAGAAGGTAGCGTTTGGTGTCCCCTTGACAGCTCTGTAACTTTTATAGAAATGTGTTTCTTCTCCTGGCTTTTGTAAGGTTGGAGGGATAGCATTACTTACACCTGTTTTATTACCATGTTGCTTTAAAATTGCCACCTTGTTTTGCTCACCTTCCTGGTTACATAAGGAGAGGCACAGTTCCTTTTCTTTCTAAATTGCTTTCTCATAGGAATACTCTGACCATTTGCCAAGGAAAGGGATCCTTTCCTTCAATGGGACCATTTCTATTGACTTATGTACTGGCATTCCTTTATTTGCCATTTTCATATGTGGTTTATGTAAGGGTGTTTTTGAAAGGAAGGCTATCCTGCGTCTGAAATTTTATTCTTTTTTTTTGCATTTAAATATATTTTATTTAAATGAATGTCTTCTTGGCAGGTGACCTTATATATTTAATGAAATAATATTTTTATTGTGAAAATTAATTCTTATCATGTGAAAGATGCAGTCAGAATTTTGCTTTTGCAAAAGACCTGGTGCTCCATGTTTGCTAATTTTCAATGGTGAATTATAAAGTAAATTCAGTGAGAGAGCATTGACTTGGATGGTTTACCAATTGGAATGTCTTTTAGAAAACTCAATTTGATTGCCTTAGAGTTGATGAGATCCTTTGAGCACTTCAGTTTCAAAATTTAAAGTGTATGTGTCAATTTATGCACTAGACTTTGGAATGTTTTAGCTCCTCAGGGAGCCAAGCTAATTGCTAAACTGATTTTTTTTAAAGTAAGGTTTTAAACATTTTGTAACTTTTTAACAGGATAGACTCTAGATTTTTCTGTTTGATATTTTTTATTTTTTAAAGAAACAGATGTTTTCTACTTTATATAAGCTATTTTGGGGTAAAATATCTCCTGGTATTAATAGAATAATTTTTGGTCTTTTTTCCCACTGATGCCTTTATTGAAGACTTGTTATTTTTCACTACCTTGGATTGCTAGGCAATTTATTCCTGTCCTCTAGAACACAGCATTATGAAAGATAAAGAAATTTTGGAAAATAATACCAACCTTGCCCTCTTTCAAATTGAATCCTAGCTTCTCCACTTAGCAGCTTTGTGACCTTGATTCTGTTACCTATCAATTCTATCCCTTGTCTGTTCCCTAGAATGAAAACACCCATCTAAATTCCAAGGTAGTTGTGGGGGTTGAATGAGATGGTATATATACCCGAAGCTGGACATTGAATGAGGTAGAGGGAACCGTAATTGATGCCTTTGAATTATGGTGTTGGAAAAGGCTATTAAACATACCATGGAGGGCCCAAGGAATGAATATATATATATATATATTCCAAAGAGGCAAAGATGGTGAGGCATTTTCTAATGTACTTTGGACTGTTATTGGGAGACACCAGTTCCTGGAAGAGGAGACCTGAAAAAGAGGAAGACTCTCAAGGAGATGGATTGACACAGTGGCTACGACCATGGCTCAAACAAAAGGATGATTGTCAGGATGGCACAGGACTGGGCAGTGCTGGACTTAGGGTTGCTAGAAGTCGGAACCAACACGACAAGAAAAATATCAAATCTGTAGCTTGCAGAGGGCACAGAGTAGACACTTAAACTCTGCTTTGCCATCCCCTTTACTTTCTCAACCAGAATGAATTAGGTAACTATTGTTTGACAGCAAGCTGGTGGCGTGGGCTCTGGAGTCAGATAAGGCCTAGGTTTAAAGTCTAGCGTTTTGCCACTTTCCAGCTGGGGCTATATCCTTGTCTACAAAATGATGTTAATAGTACACACTTCGTGAAACTATTACCAAGCTTGGTACACTTGCTGGGCTGACTAACAGCGCTACCTGGTGCCTGAACTCTGTACCTGGGAGAAAGGACAATAGTTACAACAGTTTGGAGTTCTGTTCGGAGTTCTGAGATGGCCATTAGACCTCTTCTATCTTTCTCTCTCCCTCCTTTAAGAAACAAAACAAAACAAAAAACTGGCTCACTATCTGTTCCCTTGAAGTGTGTAAACTTTAAGTTTATTTATAAAAAGCCCCACCGAGAAAGGAAATGTCCCAGGTTCAATGACTTGTCGTGATTAGATACTTTATCAAGGAGCAGTGCACACTAATTTCCCCTTTGTTCTGTCTCTGCTGCAGCCTCACAGTTAGCCAAGTTGGCCAGAACTTCACGTTTGTCCTCACTGACATTGACAGCAAGCAGAGGTTCGGGTTCTGCCGCTTATCTTCAGGAGCAAAGAGCTGCTTCTGTATCTTAAGGTAAGCGAGAGCAGCTTTGGCTATTCTGTGAGACAGTGTCAGCTTCTGTGTTGTTCTCCCATAATTAAAATTTCCAGCTGTTCATTTTATTTATTTTTTTATTTCAATTTTCCTATCTGTTGTCTAAGAGTCACTGCACTTGGGGAGAAGGGCTCCGGAATGTTGTCCTTGCACTTTAAGTTCTACAGATAATTGTATTTATTTATTTGCATCACATCCCTTGAATGGGAGCGGGATCACTGCTTGTGTGGAGTGTGTGGAGGCTGGAGAGTCAGCATGGCTCAGTCCCTCCTGCTGTTATCTGGAGCTGTCAGGAATTAGTCTGCTAGGCTTTCCCTTGGACATTTTGTGTATGTAAGATTATTAATAAAGTATGTGTCTAACTAAGGACGTCTTGCAGACACTGATTGTGTCCTCCTCGAAGTAACACCCTTGCCCTCTTTGGGTCAATGAGTGAGTAACTTGATTACCTCTGAAGAGGTTTGTGGGGGATGGGGGGGTGGGAAGTGCAGGATTCTGGAAGAAGACTTCTTTAGGTCTCTTAAAAGCCCCTTCATACACCAGAGCCACACTTGCTTAATGCTCTGTTTCCTTCTGCCAGAGGGTTAGGCGGGTTCTGGGGTAGAAGGATGTGTGTAAATCTGACTGTGGGACTTCTGGCTCCAAGGGCTCCTGCTGAGAGCCTCCTGAGAGGGAAGTAAAGGCACCCCCACACCCCCCTCTCCATCTGCTTCAGTTAAGTAGGTGTCAGCAGGGCCTGCCTCCTGTCTCTCTCTGCTCATGTGGAGCCGTCCAGGGCAGGCCAGCAGGGAGGCGGCCCTGACAAAACCCTGGTCCCCAGTCATGGGCTTGGCCTTGAGCTTGAGCCCGGGATAAAAGGCCAGACTGTGAATTTCAGAAAAGCATAGTTCTCTTGTGTTCTAGTCTCTGCACTTTCTTCTCACTAACAAAAGACCTACCCTCTTTTTATCTTTATCTCACAAACATGTACAGCCTCACATCAAGGGGGTGGGGGGGCTGCCTATTTGAAGTTATTTTGCTCAGTAAATGTCAGTCTGGACTGCTGCACTTTTAAACTTCTCTATATGAATCTTCTTACCGTTTTTCATCATTTATGGTCCGCTCTCATGACAGACATGTTGCTGTTGTTGTTAGGTGCCTCTGAGTCTGTTCTGACTCACACAGACCCTATGTACGAGAGAACCAAATTGCCGGGTCCTGTGCTCTGCGCACAATGTTCGACCCCAACGGAGCAGCCACCATGTCAATCTATCCTGTTGAAGGTCTTCTTTTTCATTGCCCCTCCCCCAAGCATCACATCTTTTCCCAAGGACTGGTCTTTCTAAGCACAGCGTTTGTAATTTGGACACTGGATGAAAGACCTGGGCAAGAGGTACAACAAGGCTGCTTTGTGAGATGACAGTGTGTACAGTGATTTGGAAGCATATCCCAGGGGCCGAGGTCCAAGGATGTCAATAATTAATAATCTTTTGATTCAATATGTCGGCTCATTTTCTTAAGATTTTCCTTTGTCCATTTTGATTTCATGTTATATTGTAGCTTTGGTTGAGATACTACATGTTTGGAGACAGGCAAAAAACAAATGAACAAATCCACTGCTACGGAGTCAGTTTTGACTCATAGCGACTCTATAGGATGGAATAGAACTGTCCCTGTGGGTTTCCAAGGCTGTAACTTTTACATCAATTGTATAAAACACATTTGTACTTACGTTACCCTCATTATTCTCAAAACATGTGCTCTCCACATAAACCCCTGGCATCAGCTCCTCATTTCCCCCGCTCCCTCCCCCCTCAGGAACCCTTGATAATTTATAATTATAATTTTGTCATATTTACACTGTCCGATGTCTCCCTTCACCCACTTTTCTGTTGTCTATTCCCCAAGGAGGAGGTTATATGTAGATTCTTATAATCGGTTCCCTCTCTCTACTCCCCCTCCCTCACCCCTCCCCACCCTCCCAGTATCACTATTCTCACCACTGGGCCTGAAGGGATCATCCATTCCGGATTCCCTGTGTTTCCAGTTCCTATCTGTACCAGTGTACATCCTGTGGTCTAGCCAGACTTGCAAGGTAGAATTGGGATCATGATAGTGGGTAGGTAGGAAGCATTTAGGAACTACAGGAAAGTTGTATGTTTCATCGTTGCTACACAGCACCCTGACTGGCTCATCTCCTCCCTGAGACCCTTTCATAAAGGGATGTCCAGTTGCCTACAGATGGGCTTTGGGTCCCCACTCCGCACTCCCCCTCATTCACAATATGATTTTTTGTCCTGTGATGACTGTTACCTGATCCCTTCAATACCTCATGATCACACAGGCTGTTGTGTTTCTTCCATGTGGGCTTTGTTGCTTCTGAGCTAGATGGCTGCTTGTTTACCGAGGCTGTAATTTTTCATGGGAGTAAAAAGCCTTGTCTTTCTCCCAGGGAGTGGCTGGTGGTTTTGCACTCTTGACCTTGTGGTTAGCAGCCCAACTTATAACCCACTGTCCCACCAGGGCTCCTCTATAGCAAACAGACCCCAGGTTATGAACATCCAGTTTACATACAATCCATAGATATGAACCTTCCTCCAGAAAGCCCATTATATCTAAATTTTAAAGTGGATACAGTTGATTGTGATGGTACTATGTGCCCTGTGGTACTATTGTGATATTTTACTATGTGCCTCAAATAATTATTGTCAGTTACTACTCTCTTCATTATTACTTATGTTAAGGATATGTTAGTACATCTGTAAGTGTTCCCGTGGTGCTTCTTTATGCATGGGGAGGTACAATGGGTAATAGAACAAACATCTGATAAGTGATGTTAGATGGGAACTGTACCCAACTATCCCACTTGAGCCATATTTGACTTAAAGACAGATTTAGGAATGGGACTCATTCAAAAACCAGGGAAGACTTTTACTCATTTGGAGGAGGTGAAGGCGTACATTAAGTTTGGAAAGGTTTTTCTCCTCCTAAATTCTGGGGTATGCTGTTTCTTTCAGTATGTTGTGCTGTGAATGTGTGTGTAGTTTGTGGAAAACTCTGAACTGAAGTAGAAAAGTATTTAAAAATTAAAACATAAAATCCTCTCTTCTCTGATGATGCTTGAGTTTCATTCTCTGATGGTGCTTGAGTTTGTGTGTCTCATGTTTGCGAGAAGCTAGTTCAACACCCCCTGTTGTCGTGATGTAGCATGAGAGATGGCAGCAAGCGGTGTATTCTCTAGCTTGGAGCTGTTAGAAAATGTTGGTGCGCCACTTCCCTCATTTATTTGTCCTTTCTCAATTGAATGCCTGTTGCTGCTAGCTCCCACCCTGGAGGGCCTTCTTAAGACTAGCCGGGGACATCATGCTCACACCTCAGGGCTCCATATATAATATAAGAGAGCGAGCCGCTTTCCCAGTGGGTTCTTCCTATCAACTTCCTAGTGCCTGAGGACAGTGACTGTGGTTACAAAGCGAGGCATCTGTCAATTGAAAAGCACACATTTTACGCAGTTATGTGTATGTAAAGGGCACCCATCCTGGTTCTTCGCTCGTGTTTGGGACCATATGCTGTGTTTTCATATGAATGGAAAGCCCTATGGTTAACCCTGGATGACTGGTTGTTGGTGATGTGACCAGCGGAGAGTGGAAAGGTTTACCAACAGAATGAGGGTGAGGTGCAAGTGAGATTCTCAGTGGGCCCCTATCTTTTTCTTGGCTCCTCAGTCGCCGTGCTTTCTTTCTTCAGACACTTTCCCTTTTCAGCATGCACCTTGAGGTCTAGGCACCCTTAAGAGTATGCCCAGTACAGCTGATGTATGTTGATAAGCCACCTCTATTTTTACTTTTCATTTCTTCGAGAGAGAGAGAGATGGCCCCCCTTTGTGGCACATCTGCAGTCATAGCTGCCTCTTCTAAAGCAGTTAGCTTCTCAGGATTGCTTCCTTTTACTTCTGTCTCATCTCCACAGCTTCTGTGTTTCCTGACCCATATGAGTTGCTGCCGGCACTCAGTCCGGCCCCTCTCAGAGCAGTCTTCTCCAGAGATAATTATCTCCTCCTCTGCCCCACACCCCAGCATGCTTTGCATACTTCAGTCATGCACTCCTAAGGCTCAGCCTTCCATTCTTTTTCTCCTATTAGACTCTTTAGCCATAAAGGTGTTTAATCAACTTTGCTTCACCCCAGCACCTAGTGTGTGCATGGTTTTCAGAAGAAGGGAGACGCATCAAAAATGGAAAAACAGGGCTGACTCAAAAGACTCTGAGTGAGAGGCCATGGTCTCCCGAGGCTGTAGTTCAAAGAGAAAATGTGAAATGTAGTATTGGCAGGAGCATAGTTCAGATTACCAAACTCGTCTCATATTAGTTGTAGGAGGTACCCCTTTGAATCTCACAGTGGAGGTCCAATGTTGAGTGATAGCATTGTGTTCAGAAAGCACTATACAATCAGTACTATAAAGTTAAAACTTAATTTCACAATGAAAGGTACTTAGGTGTCCTTTATACAAAATAACTTACTTATTTGGTTCCTTTTTTGGTTTTGTTTTATTTCCCATTCCCATGAGAATGAAAGTTCTGTGAAAGCAGGGTATTTTTATATGACTTTTTTTTTTATTGGCCAGGGGTAGGGGAGTGGAGGGTGGTGTATGCATAGTTAATAGTGAAGGCTGCTTCTTAGTACCCCACCTCATGATACTTGCTTCTTTATAAAGGAATGAATCCTGATCAAAAACCCCTTTGCTTATTTAAGGAACAATTTAATAATTGTTCTGAATACTAGCCAGCAAACCATGGCAGAAATGTAGCTGTACTAATTCCCATTATGCAAGTACTACCGCATAAAAGTTGAAGTTATAATTTGTTCTCATGTTCAGTTGGTTCCTGCCATTAAAACTTTTTACTACTCCTTAAGATTCACCATATTCTTTAACTAGATTAAAAGCACCAGCTACAGTAGTGGGTAAATTCATCATTTTTCATTTTAAACGGGAACATAAGAT